AATATATTAGAAAATGAGTTTAATAAGGTTGAAATATTATTTCAAGACAATTAAATTGTTGTAAAATTTATAAATTAGAAAAAAATAATGAAAAATTTTGTAACATTTTAAACTTATTAACAAATTCAGAAACCAAAGTTATTTAACAGCAATTTATGTTTTAATTATGTTTTCAGCACTGATCCACGACAAGTTTTTCTATATCATTCAACCTGTTTCATTCCATAAAAACTGCTTACTACATTAATAATAGACACAAATAAAATGTTACTTGTGACAAATTTAGATCAATTAAAAGCAATAAATTTTCTATTGAGTAATGTAATTAGTTAACTAATCCCTATTTTAATAGAATATTTCTCGCCATTACTACCTAATAAGTCGTTAAGCGAGCCGTTTTATTTTTCCACAAGTTCAATGTCTTATATTCAAATTTCGTCCTTGTTAATTCAACCAAGGCTTATAATATCTCACTAAAAACACCACAAAAAGATATTGTATTTAAAATACAGTAACATATACAGTGAAATTTTACATAATTCATAATGGCAGTGATGTATAAAACTTAAGTTAAGGAGGTGAAAAGTTGTTATTGTAAACAACTTATAACTATGACTGTCAAAGTTCATTTACGTGAATATTCTAATGATTTCACCTTAATTAAAATACCAGGTATAACCTGTCGTTATTACGTATAATTTTGCAAGAAAGAGTATATATGTTAACTAATGTTTCGCCTTAATCTTTAATTTTAAATTTATAAAAATATGGGAGAAATTTTACTGTAGAAAATGAAGAAAAAAATAATTGAAAGTTTCCTCCTGAAAAATAAAATGTAATATCGCTTCTTTTCTGTTTTCACTAAATAATTATACCTTTATTTATAACTTTCAAGCTTAAAATTAATTTATAGACATGTTTTTCTATAAGGAAATAAAAAATTTTTCATTTGAGTAATGACCTAAAAAGTGAAGGAAGTTATGTTCGTTTGTCTTATATTTATTAAGACATTTTAAATTGATTATATCTGATTGATTTCACGGTTGAGTCATGTTAATGATTTTCCTTTTCCAAATATTATCCTAAGAGAAAAAATAAGTAAATATTTGTATATTTAATTTAATCATTTCAAAGAAAATTTTCCATTTTTATGTAAAAATAGATCTTAAAAGATAATGCAATTCTTATCTGAAAATATAGAAATTATGCGAGAATTTGCCAAGAATATTAAATACTTTTCCTGACAATTTATTGTATGATTGATGATTAATTTCTGTATTTCAATTCCTAAAAAATGCTCAAGTGTTCCTTCTACTATTTCAAATTCTGACTTCAATTCTTCTAGAAGATTCTGTACTTCCTCTGCATCTTTACCCGCAAATAATCCATCATCCACATACAGTACTAACATAGTTAGACCTTTTTCTGTTCTTTTAATATACAAACAAGGGTCTGTTTGATTTAACCTATAGGTTCGATTATAGAACGATTGTAAACGTTCCAAAAACGTTGAAAATAGTTCGTTTGACTGGACGTGAACAGGAGACGTTCAGAAATAGAATCGGGACCAGGAAGTGTTAATATAAAGCGGCATGCAAAATTTACAGGCGGTTTTTTGCGCTTTTGCGGGAAATCGAACATATTTTTATGCTCATGTAAAAATTCCCTGGAAACGANGTACTTCCTCTGCATCTTTACCCGCAAATAATCCATCATCCACATACAGTACTAACATAGACCTTTTTCTGTTCTTTTAATATACAAACAAGGGTCTGTTTGATTTAACCTATATCCTTTTTTAATTAGAAAGGTCTATGTTTGTTCATTCCAACATGGAGGTGCTTGTTTTAGATCACATAAACTCTTGTTTAGTTTGCAAACTCTCCCAGTTCCATCATCAAAGCCTTCTGGTTGACTCATATAAATCTCTTCCTTCAGTTCTCCATACAAGAAAGCTGTTTTCGCATCAAACTGCTTTAACTAGAGGCTCTGATTTATTGCTTTTGAGAGTACAGTTCTGATTGTCTCAAACCTTGCCACTGGTAAAAATGTTTCATTATAGTCTATGCCTTGTTTCTGTGTATATCCCTTGGCCACTAGTCGAGCTTTATATCTCTCAGTTGAGTCATCTGGTTTTCTTTTAATTCTAAAAATCCATTTACTATCAATAATTTTCCCGTCTTTTGGTACTAATTCCTAGCTCTTGTTCTATTAGAGCACAGAATTCTTCTTTCATTGCTGCTAACCAATGTTATCTTTCAGTTGATTGCACTGCTTCAAACACAGTGAGTAATTCTGCAATCTCAGCTGTTTGCACTTGGCAGCTCATGTAATTGAAACAGTTTTACACTCTATAAAGTTTCTCTATTTCTCAATTTTTCTTTATAGTCTTCCTTGTCATTTGTTGCATTTTCTTTTTCTGGTTGCATTTGCATTTGTACTTCAGTTTCTTCATTAGTATAACAAGGGTGATTATTTATTTCACTTTTCAGTTGTGTTGTTGTAGTTAGTTCCTTATCAAAGACAACATCTCTGAAGATTCCAACATTTCCTCCAACCAAAACTCTGTATCCTTTTATATTTTGATCATACCTTACAAAGATTCCTTCCTTGGTCTTTGGGTCTAATTTTTGTCTTCTAGCTTCAGGAACATGTATGAAACATCTGGAGCGAAATACACGCAAATGATCAATGCGGATTCTCTTTCCTGTTAATACTTCAGTTGGGATTCTGTCTGTGACATCGCTTTTTTCTGTCAAATTGATGACATGAACTGCTGTATGTACTGCTTCAGCCCACAAGTTTTTGTCAAGTCCTCTTGCATACAGCATGGATCTTGCTAGCTCAACCACTGTTCTATTATCTCTTTCTGTTTTTCCATTTTGTTCAGGAGAATACCCTACTGTTGCCTGATGACAGATGTCCTTACACTCTAAAAACTGGACAATTTTTCATTTACAAACTCACGTTCTCTATTAGTACGAATAGCTTTCACTGTTTTTCCTGTTTAATTCTCTATATCTGTTATCTTCATGTTAAAAGTCATATTCCTAAAAACGGTTGTTCATTATCCGTTTGAAAAATTTCACCTTTATATCTTATCGTCCACAATTAATTCATTATGTCGCAATTTTTTGCATAGACAATCGTCCATTTTATCGCCATCTACTAAACCAGAAATTACAAGGTTATTTCTTCTTTCTTTGTCTTCCAGTTTCACAAACTTTTATTACATATTACATTTATTTCCGTGTGCTAACCGAGGGGGCTGAAGCGGAGAGCTTCTACCCACTTACTGGCTTGGCTGTCAGGAAATGGCTATAGGAGGGCTAAAGGAATGGGGAGGCGTAATGAAGTCGTGATGAGATGTCGATAGTACTTAACAAGAGTCATTAAATTAGGAATAACATATTTAATATAAACATAAAAATAATACAAATACATTAAAATTACACATTAATTCTAAACAAAAGTGAAAATATAATAATATTAATTTCGCGTCGCGACAATATCGGACAACCGATGACCGACTATCCCGTAAGTAGGACCGTCGAAGGTCCTCGACACAAAATACTTCTAAGACCTATCAAAAGATACAGAGTAAATAATTTCTAAGTCCCGAGTATACCGAGAGACAATAATTTCTAAGTCCCAAGTATATCGATAAACGACAATTTTCTAAGTTCCGAGTATACCGAGAGACAATAATTTCTAAGTTCTGAGTATACCGAGAGACAATAATTTCTAAGTCCCGAGTATACCGAGAGAGAGTGAAGTAAAAACAATCTAAGTATTTACCTCTTTAGGTCGGCGATCAGAAACCGTGAAGTCCTTCCAGAGGAGACGCTTGTAGTCTTCTTTCTCCGATGATCGCCTCGAGACCTCCGTTCATTCCCCTTTTATACTTTTTTAGCGTGGGAAATCTCGGGGACTTCTCTGACGCAATCTGTCACTTCTCCCGATTTATGACAGTCTCCCCCGTCATGGGTGACGACAATGCAGACATCGCTTGACCAATTAATGTTAAATTTGTCATCACCTGGAGAAATGACTGACCATTTTAGGTAATGTTTCTCACCGTAAGGGTAACCCTTGTAGGTGACCTCTTGTCTACTATCCATGCAGGAACACCATGGTTGTCTTTTGTGGTCTAGCCAATTAGTAAAACAGTGCAAGATAGTAGTCTCCTGGGGAGAGGGGCGTTCTTCCGCGGTCGCCTCGGACGACTTCGTCCTAGGGATGACCTTCTTGACGGACGAATTACGCAGTTCATTATCCGGGGTCTATTCCTCGGGTAACAGGGTGAGAACGGGAGAAATAACGGAAAGAAATATAACTTGTTACGTATTTAATTAAAATTCTCATACTATAGTCAGGTTTTCACATCCGTATTTGACTCGTTAGTTCTGACATAACCTTTCTGTTTATCAATTTCGAGGACAGAGAGACTGGATTCAAGATCTACTAAAGCAGTGTGTTTTCAATTCATGCTTTCATTCTATCTAATCGCTCTAAAAAGTACTTATAATTTATTATTTGAAGAAGCTTGTAGCTTCAACAGAAGTCTAATTCCTTTCTGAACGTTAATCTCTTTTTCGGCATTTATATAAGACAGAATTAATTCTTTTGTTGACTCACCTGTAACATTATCTTCTTCACTTCCAATTCGTTTCGTGGTGATCCATTCTGGGATAAAGGTGAAAAGTTTTCCTTACTATTTTTGAAAGAAATTTAATTAAATTGTACAATTGAATGAATTGAATTACCTTCAAAATTTTCGATATTGTTGATTCTCCGATAACATCAAGGATATCACAAATTGTTATTTCCGATGTCCTTAATGATATTCTTTATTTTTTTAGAAAACTTTTAAGTGTCAATTATACAAATATAGCTACTAAATTGACCTTCTAGTTATACTATAAAATATAATGTTAGTATAAAATGGATTTTTATTGTCAAAAGATCTTTCGTGTAGTATATGATATTATAATGTGATAATGACACACCGTGTAAAGTATGTATAGAGTTAGTTATCTATTTAAAATTTCTTGTTTATATTGTTAATTGATATATGTAAAACATGCTATTTATTCGTATCGTGAATTCAGGTTTAAATACGTAGACTACTTGTATCGAAAATGTTTTATCAAAAAACTGTGATCCAATCAGTATATTTTAGGAAAGTTACTAAGCAACTCCTTAACCATCTGAAGGACTCCAAATGGACGGTAGAATCTAAATTTGGAAAACTGAGCTACGGTATTCTGAATAATTTTCATTGTTACTATTCCAGTGTTTAAGGATAGGGAAGGATAAAAGAAATTCAACACACATACAATCTGCGAAGGGGGAGTGGCTTTTAAGAAAACTGTTTTTAGGAAATGGCCAGAATTTAAGTGTTGGAATCACGAAAGAAAGCTGAAAAACTCCATGAGGAGATCCGCAGTGTTCGGTAGTTTTATCCACTTGGCACTTGCATTGTTTAAGTACGACTCGTACATAACAACTTTTGTTTCTTATTATAGATTTAAATAAACAAGATGCTTCAAAAATTTTTTTAAACTTTTAGGAGAAGGTTCACAGTCAGTGTCAGCAGAAGTAGGGTGTTACTTTTAAAAACACAATTGAGTCTTGACATTTTGCACATGTGGAAAATTTACAGACGTTCACCTGCCACTAAAAATCAAACCTAACAAGTTACTTCCATATTATTGTTAACATTTTAAAGCAAATTATACAATAATTTATAATGTCGTTGCAAAAATTATGTATAAACTGTAAATATTATTATATGCAATACTATAAAAGAATATACAAATTACTTTATTTAATAGCATGCAAGAAGATGTAACAGAAACTTCCTTTATTTAAATATTCTAAATCATATTAGAGAAACAGTTATGATGAAATCTTTAATGCATATACTTTAGATGATTTTAATAAAATTAATTTACAGAAATTTTTCTATCGTTCTTGATTCGGATATTTTTCAAAATCTATGGAATAAAGTAGTCGACATTGTTGATGACGAATTCTCTCTAGTCGTTTGGGGTAAGTTTCCATTATTGCATTTTTATTTTGTCATATAGTTCAGTATATATACGTAACTTATTACAGGTACTGTTTTATTACGTTCTCAGTATATTGGGGCATAGGTCTGATTTATTCGTTAATAGATTTAACTGGAAAACCTGAATTTTTACTTCGTTACAAAATACAAGATGTGAAATCTTACCCGGTAAGTAAATTGTCGTGACAAAACAGTAAGAATTATATTGTAAAATATTTTAATTTATCAAGAATATTTTCTATTTAGCAAAGTATTTCCCGAAATTAATAATTTCCACTAATGTAAAGATTTAAATTGCCATTCGTTCACAGTTTATTAATGGAATTGTTGATCAATTCAAGCTGTAAACTGTCCACTGTTGAGAGTGTACTATTTAGAAAATCTCTTAAAGATCAGTGAATAAATATTCCAATTTTTCAGAATCTGATTATCCCGATCATAAATCAACTGATATATAAACTGTATAGTTTTCAGAATCTAAGTGTTCTTCCTAGAAATATAAACTATAACAATTGGGGTGGTTATTATTCCTATAGCTGTTCCTTATACATTCTTCTTAAATAATAAAAAAAATAGTGCAAAACTGAAATTTTGCAATTACCTTTCAGATACAAATTTCACAATATCCTCATGTTGCAAAACAAGTATTATTTAATCAAATATTCATTAGTACTCCAATTGCCATTATTGGGTATAACGTACTGAAGTGGAGGTGTTACGACAATGGGCTTGAACTACCGTCATTTCGCAGGTTTTTGTTTGAACTTATAATATTTCTTCTGTTAGAAGAAGTTGCATTTTATTATAGTCATAGGTATGTAATTATTGCTATGTCTTTTAATCATCATTCTACATATACTATTGTTAATAAAATATTGACACAAATCCGTGATTTTATACAGACTTCTGCATCATCCGAAACTATATAAGTATATACATAAAAGGCACCACGAGTTAATATCACCTTTTGCCATCGGAGCATTGTATTGCCATCCCATAGAACATATTGTTAGCAATGGAATTCCACCTTATCTGGGCCCTATTTTTATGGGATCGCACGTATCAGTGATGTGGATGTGGTTCATAATTTGTCTTATTACTACTCTAAATGCTCATTCTGGTTACCATTTTCCATTCTTTCCGTCTCCTGAAGCCCATAACTATCATCATCATGTAAAGTAGGTGTAGAAGAATCTTTTAAAGTTAAGTATTGCTTCTGTGCAATTCAATATGCTGTTTATTTTCTAGGTTTAATCAGAATTATGGAACGTTAGGAATATTGAACTTTTTGCATGGAACCAATAAACAGTTCTACAAGAGCAGAGAATACGAGCGTCATTTTACGTTTTTCAATTTTTCCCCATTAAAGACCCAATAACCAACTACGTAATATTGAGACTTGAAAGTGAATAAAATGTTGCTGTTTCGACACTGCATAATAATTTAATTTATAATGACATAACCTTTCTGTTTATCAATTTCGAGGACAGAGAGACTGGATTCAAGATCTACTAAAGCAGTGTGTTTTCAATTCATGCTTTCATTCTATCTAATCGCTCTAAAAAGTACTTATAATTTATTATTTGAAGAAGCTTGTAGCTTNTCAATTTTTCCCCATTAAAGACCCAATAACCAACTACGTAATATTGAGACTTGAAAGTGAATAAAATGTTGCTGTTTCGACACTGCATAATAATTTAATTTATAATGTAATATGAACTTTCTCAATTTTATTGTATAAAGAATTTAATTTTAAGGATTGTATTACTCGATATATTTCAATAAATGGTTTATAAAGGGTTGTTTTGACACGAAGAAAATAAATGACTAATATTATTTTCTTTTATTAAATTTTACATTATAAAATATTAATAATTATCATTACGCTAAGGAAATTAAATTAAATTTGAACATTGAAAATGCTGTTGATCTTCCTTATCATTTTATTGTTACGTTTATGAAGTGAAGATAACCCTGTACTAGTGATATACAGGATAATCGAAAACTAAAATAAAAATACAGTAGTATAATACGCTTTTCACAGAAATGCACAGAATGAATTGCGATTTTCCTAAAAAACTTTAATTCCAGGATAGTTATATTCCGACCACTAAATGTCTTCTGAGTTCATTGCTTAGTTTGTAACAGCAAATTTTCAATGTGGGATCCAACATTCTTAAAAAGTACCGTCAGAAGCGATGCGACACTATACACAGCATTAACGAGTATTTCAGTTTGTATTGCTGAAACATGATGGCGGATAGAGTCTTTGAAAGCGACCAATAAATCTGATCGAACTTTACACACATTTGACTTCAAGTGTCTACATAATCAAAGCTCTCATGGTGTAAGGTCCGGAGACTTTGCAGGACATTCGTGTGGAAAGGAGCGACTTAGGACACTGCTGTTCTTTACAAATATTGTCGTTCGGATGTGTGACAGAAGTAGCAATGTGCGTAGATGAACGTCTGAGAGCAGTAGTGCTCATAAATGATGGGCACTTACATGAACCCAGGAGCCATTTGCTTGTCGGAAATGTAACTAATCTGGTAATAGAATTTTTCCGTTATTAAAAAAAACCCACTTTATTCTGTGCATTTCTATTATTATTTTATTCGTTAATAGTTTGTCACATCTTTAAGAGAGGTTTTTAAATGCACGGCTTGCGGCCTCACACGTCCGTGTTTTGAATCTTTCTTGGCGTTTTTGCCGGCGATGACGTTGCACATGCAGGTCCTCTTCACAACCTTGTTTTAAACTTCATAAGAAAGTTAGAAGGATCTCACCATATTTGTGTTTTCATGTGAATCCGAAAAACAGAAAATCCCACGCCGCGGTGCTCGGTTTCATTTTCCTATTACCACTTTTGTGTCAATATTTTTAAAAAAGTATTGACACAAAATGGTTAAAACTAATATCTCAAATACTACAGTAGAGATAATAGAGACTTATCACATCAAAATGACCCTTCTATCATCAATTCTGATAATAGAAGTATTTTTAGAGTGTATTTACCAATGAAGTCGCTTCGATTAAGTAAGTTTGTAAATTAATTAGCGACGCGATATGATATAATTATTTAATAATAACGTAAACAAGAGAAAAAAAAATATTTGGATTAATAATGTATGCCTTGTATAGAATTTCATATGCTATCATTGTTAAAATATCAAATATTTTCTTCAGTTTTCACAGAATATTTGTCGCTTCGACAAATATAAGATTTTATACCTTTAATTTTTACATTACAAATCATAGTAATTATGCAAACATCTGCAAAATTCCTCGTAAATATTGATAATTTCTTAACGTATTTATGAAATTAGCCTTTAGTATGAACAATAATAATGTGCGCTATACATAATATAAGATTGTTTAGAATATTAAAAAAAATTTTTTAATTTAAGAAAGTTGTCTATAACCGATTATTTAATGTTTGAATTAATATTAAAATTTAATATACTGTACAAAAAATAATATAACCAGGAATAATTTATTTAAATATACTTTCTCAATCATAATATTCGTACCAAGCGCAATTACTAACGTTAAACTTTGCTATATTAAATTTTTAAAATAGAAAATAATAATATTTTATTAAATACGAATCGTTATTCTCTTTATATTGACACGGCTGTTGGCTATATAAACCCCCGAATATTCTACGAAAGTCAGTTTCATTAGAATAATGAAGGCACTACTTTTTATTTCCCTGCTCTGTATAAATGGTAAGTTTCTTTATTACTTTAATATATCAGTTATACTCACGGAATTGTGTTATCTGCAAGCTATTGAAATCAATTGGAAATTAACAAAGAAGGTATTGCTTGTATTCTTTCTGATTTGTAATGGTGGTTAGGTCAATTACCTCTTCAATACTTCCATTGGTGGATTAATGTATCAGAACTTATACGGTTTTTTTTAGGACTATCCACATTAGTTTCAAGTCGTAGAATGTATTATTTCAGAGATGCTGGACCACACCAAATATTTTGCGACACCGAGCACGTATTTGGAATTTGCAGACATTATTGCAAGACACTTGGAAATCGTGAATGTCCACAAGCAAATCCTCCTTGCATTTGTCCTCCTTAAGAAGATAATAAACAAAAACTTTCTTGTTTATTTCGGTAATAGTTCATTATTCCTGTTCAACTTTCAACATATTTTAATGAAGAATTTTTGCAATAAAAGTTGCTAAAATAATACATTTTATTATTTTACTTTATAACTTTCAAATTCACTAAAAGTATTTTCGTTTAAATTGATTCATTGAAATTTTGTTATAACTATTTTTTTCTTGTGAAATGAAGATAATTAAGTGTAATGTAGCCATTGTAAAACGAACCGAAGACAAATTAATGTATTATATTATATAATTTAGAATGTTCATAAAACAGAATGTAAACACAACCGAAATAAAAGTTCTTTTATCTTTCTAAATATACAACTTATTTTTATTCATTATCACAGTTTCTTTGAATTTGTGCTGCTAATTACTATTACTTTGATTTTTAATGAATTATTCGTAGTTTATGATATTTTAAAGTATACGAGAGAGAGAGTACTAAAAAAATTAACTTAATTTTAGAATTTTGTAACTAATATCTGCACTTTTATGGCGCAGTTACATAGGAAGTTGTCATTTTCATTATATCACAATAAGGATAGATATATCATATTGTATTTTTTAAGTATAAAATGGCCTACTTGGATGTGATATCTTTGCTTTGTATAAATCGAAATTTTCGCGTCAGTTGATTAAATAACGCGTTTCTTTATAGAAATTGCTCATATTGTCATCAGACAACAACAAATCTAATATTTGCCGAATCTTCGGAGAGTGAATTATTATCGATTCTGCGGAAAATATGACATTCTGAAGTTCATTGTTTCCAACACATTTAAGAAATATTCGGTGTGATTATCATTAAAACAGAAAAGACAATTAAAAATCTTCGATGGTATTCCTTGTAAAATTCAACCGACGAGAGTTGATTTTAACTATAAAACCTAAGATATTTTATATTGTTAACACTGTGCAATATTTAAACCTCTGGTAACATGCAAGGGAATCAGATTTCATCTAATCCAGCGGCGCTACCATTCTTAGACATTCTAGTAACGAGACTCAAAGACAAAAAAATTTTTAAAAAGTATAAAAACCCCTGTACTATTGGCAGCGTCATACACTTTACATCTGAAGTACCCACTTATATAAAAGAAGAATACTTTTCACGTGTACAGTGCGTAACAGTCAAACTAACATATGGGACCAAAGAAACGTTATCTACAAATTAGAATGCGACTGTACCACAATTAACCACACCAAAATTTTACATCGGGGAAAATAGTAGGGAATTAAAGGTTCGTTTTAAAGAACATATCTTTGCCATAGAGTACAATAATAATAACTCGACTGTAGCCATCCACTGTAATAAAGAAGGCTGTCAAATTGTAAAGGATACTTGTCAAAATAGTTAAAAAAAGACGGCTCTTCTAGAACAACACTTTGAGTACACTGTCCTTACCGTATAGAGTACTTTGTTTTCGTACAGTGGAAAAAACTTATTTAAGTATAAAAAGACATTCTCCTGGAAGGGCTTGTCTGAAAACTTATTAAGTTATCTGAAGAATAATGAAATTCGTAATGTAATATGAACTTTAAAAATTTAATTTTCAGGATTGTATTACGCGACATATTGCAATGAATTATTTACAGACAAAAATAAATAACTATTATTATTTTCTGCAATTAAATTTTATATTATAAAATATAAAGAATTACATTAAATCTCTCTGTATATCCGTTAACCAGTAAATTAAAAAAGTAAATTAAATCTGAACATTAAAAATGCAATTGATCCTCTAAGATCACTTCACGTGTCAGGTTTATGAAGGAAAGAAGAAAAGCCTTTACTAGTGTTATTCAGGATGATTCAAAAGTAAGAGAAAATTTGAAAAAATCAACAATTCACTAAGTACGAATTTTGTGTTACACACACTAAGATATCAACTCAGGAGTCATCTGGTTGTATGAAATGTAACTAATCTCGTATTAAAATTTTGATCGTTATAAACAAAACTCTCATTTTATTCTGTATATTTGTGTGAAACCGCATCATGCCACTGTAAATACTTAGCGAATTATTGATTTTTCAAAATTTCAGTTACTTCTCGATCACCCTGTATTTGAATCAATGAAGAAATACGCTGCTTTAATTATCTGCATAATTACGAATAATCATAATTATACAGATTTAATTTTCTTTATTCTTACCGATATTTAATTTTCTTCTATACGATTTTGGCCCGTTAATTACAATTTAATAATAAAGAAATGGTAAATAAGTTAATAAAATAAAATGATTTGACAATCTTCTTTTTGAAACAAAACTGGTTCTTTTTAAGTTAAATTGTCGCATAACTACATTGTTCTTATACCTAAAAATGTTTCTGATAACCTTGTGTTTTAATATTTAAGCGAATATTTTAGTTGTCTGACGAAATATTGTTAATTTTGAGATAATCAGTTCTGACATGTTTAAAATAAAAGTAATAACTTTTGTTACTTTCCCGGCTGTTATGTATGAGAGGAAAAGTATGGCAATCCGTGAAGGAAATGATCCCTAAAACATTTCTATTTTTGGACTCGGGGGACCTTGAAACATCGAGAAATGCAAAAAATCGGCGCTTTTCCCCCTGTATGTATGTGTTAGCGTGTGTGGGAGGCACGATTTTATTCACCCTGTTTGAAGCTTAATATTCTTGTGTTTTTTGGCGAAAATATCTGAACTTTTACAGAAAGGATTGTGTATTAAGGGAACTGATCCTGTTAAATTTTGGTGATTAAAGGTCGAGAGATGATGAGATTCGGGGTGTCGTGTGTCATATCTCGAATATGGTGGGGCTTAATGATTTTACTCGTTATTTGCGTTTACAATTTTAATAAAACTCATCCTTGCCCTCAAAAAAACTAAATCTCGAAACCGCGTTTTATACGATTTTTGTTGGAACTTACTGGAGACTCCTAAAACTCCCTAAATACGAGGATCGCCACCTTTCGACCGCTACTTCCGGGGAGCGTCATCGGGAGTCGCGCCGCTCTCTCTTTCTGCTAAGCCTGTCGCGTGTTTAACAGGCAGCAAGCCGGCCACATATTCTAACGTCACATTTCGGCAAAGACTAAAGAAAAGCCCGGTTAACACGGCTAATTAGGCAACGTTTTCTCCGACGCTGCCGCTCCGATTTAAACCGAGCGCGCTTCTATTTCGCTATCTCTAACACATTCTAACTGACGATGGAAAAGGCCAAGAAAACATATTCTACACTCACCTTCGATAGAATCTCCTCCTCTCGCTACCTGGCGACGCCTAGCCCGTTTCCGATCTTCTGTAGGCGATGACGGGATGAGGCCGCTGGTCACTGCCGCCGCCACCGCTTCGGCTATGTCCCGGAGGTCGAGTCGCCCGATGCTGTCTGAACAATCGCATATAATCCAGGTTTCGCATAAAAGTTGCACTATATACACAGACACACACGCAAGCTTCAGTGTTCGCTGGGCGGTCGTCTTCCCCTTGCAGTTCCTCTTCGTCGCCCTCGTGCACGGGTACATCAGAAAACATACGTATATATGTGAAATAGACATGTCTGCGAAGACAGAAACGTCAGTCGATCGTCACATGTAAACCTTCACCGCCAAACTTCCAAGCTACTAATAAAAGAAGTTCGTGTGAAAAATCCAACTCTGATTTTTTACGACTCGTTCCAAACATTCGATTTGAAGACCAACTTCTACTTCCGGATTGAAGTTGAAGTTGGTTCGATTACAACTTTTCTGCCTCATACNCTATTGTTTTCAATTGTGATAAATATATATAATTTGGTACAAACGATTAAGAATTATTGTAAAATTCGTACTAAATCTACTATTTTTGGAATCACTTTTGAATGAAAAAATAACTTTTCTCTTTAACGGATTATGAATGAATGACAAGAATTCTTAGAAAATACGTGTGTTGTAAGTTCGTGTGAAAAATCCAACTCTGATTTTTTACGACTCGTTCCAAACATTCGATTTGAAGACCAACTTCAACTTCCGGATTGAAGTTGAAGTTGGTTCGATTACAACTTTTCTGCCTCATACTCATCACAAGCATGTAATAAGCAATCGTTTTGTTCGTTACGTATATAGATAGGTTTGGTTTCCTAACATATTTAATCTCGGTCAAAGCACAAACGCATTCCATAATAGCATAAAAGTCATAATCGAATAATCTGAATCACTTTCCGATGAATTGAAAACTTTCGCTGAGAAATGTTGCTGCTAAAATTCCAGAATGATATGATACACAACTTGCGGCAGATCCCTTTTAATTTCTCACTAGGTGTTGTTTCGTGACAATTGTCCAATTCGTACACTTCGCAAAATGTATTTGCAAAAACGCAAAGATTCTTTCTGACGCGCCTATAGGACGATCTAAAACTTTAAATGAATAAAACCTCATCTTATATGCGAGTAAATACGATATTTCACTTTGTACCAAATAAACATATTAAGTTTTAAATTTATCTATTTGATTGTTTCCATACCGATTCATCTGGGGTATTTCCTATATTTACTTTTAACTGAAATCAATAAAATCCATAATTATAATTGTTTAACAACTTCTCTTTCCTCTCTAAAACAACACTTAAACCAAAACACCTGTTTCACAAAGTATAAATTAAATTAATCATAATAATTTGGTGCTTCGATCAGAAAATTTGGAAAATCTTAATCCTTCGCGCTTGTATACAAACATTCGGAGAAACAAAATTATCAGGTATATTAAATACACAATTGAAAATTTTCAATTACAATTGCAATGTATCACTTTAGTTGAAGTTTTGATTATTATTTATTTAATGAATATTTCCAAATAAAAATATGTAAATAATATACAACAAACATGCCACATACTGAAAATTATTAGGTCATTTTAAATGAAATATTTTACAAAATTTAAATAGAGTGAAGAGCTCGAGACACTTTTTATTTAATGAGCAGTTGAACAATTTTCGACTGTTTAATGTATTTCGGATTCTGTAACCAGCGCTTTTCCACCAATACTTAAAGCAGCGATTTCGCGTTCAATTTTTAACATTATACAAGAGCTGGTCTGTAACATAATTTTTAATTTTACATTTTCATGAAATATATCTTCTAATTGTCGTCTGACCTCCGACACATCTTTGACAAATCTTTCCAATGCATCGCTATTCGGGTTTACGGTGGCCTTTCTCTTCTTGCCGTGAGGTAGAAAACTCTCTAAATCTTTCGACGAGGTGGAAGCTTCTTCGTCTTCCTTTTCTGTGAGGCAGGAAATCCCTAGAGAATACAGAATCATATATAAATCACGAAAACTAGATTCTAAAATCAAAAGATGCTATTTAATTAAAAGTATTGTTCGTAAGTATGTACATTACAGTAGATACCTTTACCCGGCATTGCTTCTAAGCAACAGGCAGCCAACTGAGACAACAACTATCGTAATCCGTTTCAAATAAAATTAATAGTGCTATTGGTTGACTTATTTAGCGGCCATTAATAATGATTCTGTACGGTACAGTCATTGCGTACTAAACTATAGTGTAGCGTACCAAATTTACAATTCGTATTATTACTCATTTTAAAAGTTATAACTTAACAATAAGCCAGAATTACTTTAAATATTTGAATAAAATATACAAATGTTCAAGCACATTATCAATTTAAAATATTTAAGAATTCATTCATTATATTCATTTTTAAATACTCCTATTTCCATTGCAAACTTTAAATGTTCATAATTAAAAATTAAGTATAATTACCGTCCATATTATCTAAATGCCTATTGAATTCAAACTTCGCAGCAGATAAAATAAAAAAGTTCAGGTACGATCACAATGATTCCAAGCACCAAGTATTTCTAGTAACACTTGACCTTCCACACAGGAAATTTGCATTTATCCTAGAGATTAATTACAATTGTTTATAATATGGTAATAGTTAAATATAGTTATAAACTGGAATATCATTTTATATTTATTAATATAGCTTTCAGTAATATTTAATTAGTAATTAATGAAAATATTCTATACCTAGCACGAAAGTATATTTAAATAAGTTTAACAACAAAATGAAGATGGCGATTGGATAAAAATTAAGATTTGTATTATTAGAAAATTTTATTTCTAATTTGTACAAGCGTCATCAATTGTTTGTATTCTGGCTAACACAATTAACCTAATAATTAGAAACAAATTCTAATTAGTTTTTAATACATATTAACAAATACAATGTAATCCGGTTATTAACATCACGAATAATGTTAACAATTGGTTATTGTTATCATAATCAGTCTATTTAAATTTAATTAAATATTGCTGGCTTATTGCAATCAAACTTCGGCTATTGTTTTCAATTGTGATAAATATATATAATTTGGTACAAACGATTAAGAATTATTGTAAAATTTGTACTAAATCTACTATTTTTGGAATCACTTTTGAATGAAAAAATAACTTTTCTCTTTAACGGATTATGAATGAATGACAAGAATTCTTAGAAAATACGTGTGTTGTACTAAATGTAGTATTGTAAATTATGTTATTGTTAGTATTATAAATGTAGTTCGTAGAAATACGTATATTAGATTGAGTGGAGAGGATCAGCAAAAATTATAACAAGTAGACAACTGAAGACTTCCCATAGAACGAAGTATCATTTATCTCGTGTTCTGAAGATTTAATCGAAGATTTTGACTATTTATATGATATTTTGGTTAAAAAGTTCATCGTAATCTTTTGTATATTTTGATTGTAGTTATAGGTTTCTTAAATACTTTTGTATTTATTGTTGTTTTAAATAAAATTGATTTCTATCCCGGATGATGATAATTGCGGCGGAGTTTGTGGAGAAGTCAACTATCTCTAATTCGCCGATATCCTCCTGTGCGAATCTCACATTCATGTTCATATTTTCAAATAATTTTAGCCACTTCTTTAGAAAAGTACGACCATTTAGAATAAACACATTATAATTTTTGGCAAATTTAATTAATAAACTTCCTTTCTTATTAACTTCTGTATCGCGACTTCTTGTATTATAATCTAACGGATTATACCCGTTATAAATTGGATCACATTCGTTTCCTATTTTTGGAGTTAAAATTTCTAAGAGTTATCCATAGAGAGGTCAAATGTGACCAATTCAAAATAGTTCTCTCCATTTCTTCGAATGGGCTTTGAAGCATTTCGTAAGGAGAAGTAAGGGTGATTCAAAAGTCACAGAAATTTTAAAAAAATTAATAAATGGCAAACTATTTACAGTAACACGATGCGGTTTTCACAGAAATTCTTAGAAAGAAGCATCATCTTACTATAAACAGTTTGCGAGTTATTAATTTTTTTAATTTCTGTCACGTTTGAATCACTCTGTATAAATAGTAATTATTGCTAAGTAATCATTAGCGAGCCTATTAAATTTACGATTTTCTAATTTAACCATAACAAAAATCAAGTAAGTACTTCAATAGGAATGAACCAAATATCCGAAGTATTTATTCATTAATAACATTATTCCTCCCTTCGGCCTACCAACTCCAGGTTTTTTTCAATTACCAAAATATAATTGAACGAACCTTGCGGAGATTTGTCTCTTTTTCAGTTAGTTTAGTAATACAAGTTTCTTCTAATCATATGATATCATACATCTCTAATACCTTTTGAAATACGGGGTTTGTTCAATAAGTATCGGAATTGATTATTTCCTGCCAATGGAAAGGGTGGAGGACGGTTTCTATAAGCGGGATCAGTGGTGGGATATCGCATAAGCTACGAGACCCGGCTCAGTTGTCTCTAAACCTTTGGAGTGTGTAGATCGGGCCGAATTTAAAGTATACTTAGTGCTCGTGCCGAGAGTCAAGATGCAGAGAACCATCGAGCAGCGTTTTGCCATCAAATTTTGCGTTAAATTGAATAAATCCGTTACTGATCCGTGAGGCTTACAAGGACGCGTGTTTTTAGTGGCATAAAAAATTCAAAGATGGCTGGCAGACGTCGAAGACGAACAACGCGCTTGACGTCTCACAGCGACTCGAACCGATGAAAATGTGGCCAAAGTGCAATAACTTTTGAGGATTAGGGTCCGCCGCGTCCGAAAGGAGATCGCCGATATCTGGCTGCTCCATCACGACAATGCGCCCGGTCACACATCGCTAATTGTGAGGAAGGCACAAGCTACACACAACGTGTCAACGCTGCTCCAACCATCCTAAGTCCAGTTGTGGCTCCTCCCGACTTCTTTTTTGTTCCTTCCTCGTATCAAAAAAGCCTGAAAGAACATTGTTTCGGGACGATTGAGGCGGTCCAAGCGGCTTCGACGGGATGCCTGAACAGCCTTGAGGTTGCTGCCTTCCGGGAGGCGTATGAAAACTGGAAAAAGCGATGGCAGCGGTGTATTGATACAGGAGGGTCATATTTTGAAGATTATTAGCTCATTGTACATATATCTGTAATAAATTTCTTTTTATGACTTTAGTCCCGATATTTATTAAACAAACCATGTAGACAGAAAAAACTTATTTCTAACATCTTGGGTATTTCAATTAATGATCTTGATCTCAGTTCCTTTGATTAATGATAAATATAATCCGTCAAAATTATTACTACTATTGTGGTTAACGTTAATACCTTGTATTTACCGCAGTAAATAAATTAGTCAATTGATTTCTCATCTAAAAAAGACCCAGTATCGAAAGAGCACTTTTTTTATAAAACTATAAGTGATTTTCTTATTCCTAAAAATTACATAATAATTTGTTAATAGAATTTACATACCTTTCTTCTTTGAGTTCAATGTTTGTAGATTATATTTAATAAAATTAGATGATTTTTCGATAAATGAAAGAAATTTCTTTTATCAATGACTTTGGCCCTCATTAATAACTTTTTCTCGAAGTCCTGCAAAACCTCCAGCCGGCTCTTAGTTTCAGCAAATAATATAAAATTGTAAATCGTAATTACTGAACTACAGTATATTTATCATTAATAATTGCTGACATTCCTGCATCTTTATAAATTATTATTACCATATTTTCCCTCCAGTCATCTGGTATCCTCTCTTGTTGCCATCGTTTTTACATAAGATTCCATACAATACTAACACATTTCAAGCATCTTCATATCTCAGCTGAAATCTGATAAGTTCCTGTTGCTTTCCCATTCTTCATTTTTCTGGGTGTCCTTTACACCTCCTTCTATGTCTATATTTTCAATATCATCTGCCGAAATACGAATGGCCGGAGTTAGAAGTAAAGAAAATTTTACAAGATCGTGTGTCATGTTTCGAGTAACGTCGAATTTAACCTGATGAAACTGTGTTTTTCTACTAAAACTGCATTTTTTAATAAATTAATAAAACTATCAAATAGTGTTTTTCTAATTAGTTACTGTATTATCAGATATTATCTAAAGCCTGATGATGGAGAATATAAACGATAACTAAAATTTTACGACTAGGAAAGTTGTATATCTTTATTGAACTTATATAACTGTTATTATCGTAGATATAATTATTTATGATAATTTCCAGCTGAGTAATCAGGCCAATCACACGGTCCGTTTCACTTAAAATTAATGATTACAATTAATATTATACTTCCTATTTTCGTATTTTTTGATTATTTACTTAAGTATTAATAATAATGAAGCAATAAATTAATAGAAATATGTAAGAGTTTTCCTTTTATTATTCATGCAACACATTTTCTATCCAGTTTTTTTGCTAATTTCTGAAGAATTTGAAATAGATTTTTGACTTCCATATGTTTTAATTGTAATTATAATCCATTTCGAGTGTTTATAATTATAAAAGATGACTGGAAAATGTAAAATGATAAACTATACATTTATACAATTCCTCGTATCTATTAATTAATTAATCAAAAATTTTATCGCGATTTTAATCTACCTTTAATGACGCACGATTAACGCTTAATTGTTTTTTAAAGCGACCTCCGATAGTTTTTTAATTTTTTTCATTAATATATTTCATTATATATACGTTTAATTAAGTCGGGGGGTCGGAAATCGCAATAAAAAACGTAATTTTTGAAAAATATTTAAAAATATACGGTCAGCTAATATTCAGCCTTCTTTAAACCCTTTTCCTCCTGTAGATTTTATGAGAATGTTCCGTGAAAGACGATACCACCTCTTCTCGACGTCATCCAGCTGTAAACATAATTACTCATCGGCGACAGATTTCGCGGAAAGGCGAGACAATGGAAGTTAAACTTTGACAGTAGCGTGCCGTCATTAGAAGCGGTGGATGGCCGCTTCCCTCGTATTAATTATACGAAAATAATCGCACAATATTTTATTATAACCGCATTATGTATCTTATTACAAATTTCTATACTACAAGTGAAAAAAAAATATGATCGCTATTGTATCCATATATTCGAATATTAGTGGCGGAGTAGCGGAGTGGAAACGCCGTATTGTCAGCATAAAAAAAGCCACATTTGCGCACGCGCTTTACGGAGCACCAACCTCACCCTGTTTAGCCAGTTGAAGCCTACGACCTTGGGTGGCAGCTACACGTATAACGCATCCAATTCCATTTGGGACCGGTTCCGGGCCATTAGGCGCCCGCCCGCTAAATATTTGGCCGCCCTCCCCGATTACGCGAATCACGAGTAGATTTACCGATAACAATTTACCTGTATGTTTTTATGATACTTTTCTGTATAGTTGACTGGAGTTTAAAAATTCCATTAAAATATTTGATATATTTATTCCGCTCTCCGATTTTATATTACTCGCGGATTTCGATGTTAAAGCGGTGGTATTACGATTTTGTATGTCCCATCCTTAAGGCGATGTAGAAAAAAACGTGTATAATTCTTGTATAATGTTAAAAAATTAACCGTTACTTCGACACTCTACTGCTTATTTCGAAAGGACGAATTATTAATTTTTAGTTAAAAATAAATAATTGATTAAAAATAATAAAAAAAATCTTTCGAAAGTATTAGTAAAACCGGTCGTAATGACGTATTTCTATATTAACTAATTTACCTAATCATTATTCGGTAAATTAGTTAATATTATGATAAACATTAAAGAACTAATATACTATCTTTTGTTATTATTTCTTTAGAAAAAGAATGAAGAAGACTTTAGACTCTTATTTATCTTCTTGGTTTTCTCGAATCGGCAAATTTGTCGGTGAATATCCTCAACATTGCATCGCTGCCACCTTATTGTTTACCGTGATTTTAGGAACTGGATTTCTCAACTTTTCTAGAATAAAGGATTTAGAGTATCTCTACAATCCTAGGAACAGCAGAGTTTTGGAAGATAGAAAATTCATCGAGAATCTGTTTTCTAATAGCTACAGGACCGACGATGAAATAATTAGGATGTCTACATATCAAAATTTAATTACGATCATTGTCTTAGCGAAAAACAACGGTTTCATGTTGGACCCCTCTTCGATAGAAGATGTAATCCAGATGGATGTTATCATTCGCAACATCAGCATCTTTTGGAATAAGAAATTCTACAGTTACCGAGATATTTGTATCAAGAATAATCGTAACGAATGCGCGAAAAACTTCGTTTCTTCCTTGAAATACATGATGAAACATCCTGGAAAGGTTTCCATGAGGTAAGACTTTATCTATGTAAAGAATTATTTGCAATTACAGTAGAGCATCGATTTTCCGAATCAATTGGGGACTGGGGTTGTCCGGATAACTGATATTTCGGATAACTGATTTACGTATAAAAAAATAGTTTAACGTATCCGATGTCGAAATTTTTCTCCGTTGCGTGTCGCTTCGCGTTGAATTTTCGTCGATGTTAAGCCTAACGAAGACTATTGTAAGGTTAAAAATTATTTTTTTATTTTGTACAAACAAAATAAATATATTGAAAAATATAAAAATTATACTTCAGAAGATAATTTAGTATCAAAAACGTAAAATATTTGAGTAGCCCAAGACATGGCCAAAGATTGAAGCGCCACAGCACTGGCGAAAATTTAAATTTGCCGACTGGAATTCTTTCGGATGATTGACTTTCGGAAAATCGACGCTCTACTGTAGTTCAAAGTGAGCAATTTCAAATACTTTTAGACATTACATCGTTAGACTTTAGACTGATGGGTGATCTTGTAAGTGAAGGTACAGCCCGGGTGTACTTTTATGGGAAACTGCTTTCTATTTATGTGTTAGACATGTGAGGAACACTTCAAAATCTTTTCGCTGCCCATACGTTAGTGTAAACACTACTGATGAAATGATAATTTGAACAATTTTATTTAAATAGGAAAAATGTTACTTCAATACGTAAACAGCGCCGATGACTTTAGTTGCGTAATTTCGGAACTGATCGCAGTGCCGATGATTTCAGGAAAGTCTATCGACCAGATATAAGACTCCAACTTTTGCATGATTCACTTATCCAAGAACAAATTTCTAAGCAAAAAACAAAAGCGGACACCGGCGTGTCCAGACATTCCTACTATTATACGTGCGGTTTCACATGGAAAGAATTATCTGTAAGTGAATCACCAAAAGAATACCATAATAACACTCTTACTATGCTTATAATTAGGGTTTAGAAATTGTTGATGTTTCATTTGTGAATGGAATGTTAGGGCTTGGGGATTTCACTACACCAGATTGAATGACCTACCCTTTAGCCAGATGTGAAGAAGATAAAAAATGAATTACTGATTTATTCTAAAAACACTTTGCTCCCATCATTACATGTAAAATCAGAACTTACAAAAAGCTTTGTAAACAATTTGAACAGAAAAAAAACAGAAAAAGTGAGCTTTATACGTATTTAAGGAGAAAATTCTCTTAGAGAAATTATGCAAAAATCATTACAGTGGCGTGCCGTCATTAGAAGCGGTGGAAGCGTCGCTTCCCTTATATTTTATAAAAAATAAATATATGTTAATTTTAATTATATGAAAATAATCGCGCAATATTTTATTATAACCGCATTACGTATCTTATTACAAATTTCTATACTACGCGTGAAAAAAAAATAAGATCGCTATTGTATATTTGAATATTAGTGGCGGAGTGGAATCTCTGTATTGTCAGATTCCAAAAAGCCAGATTCGCTCACGCGCTTTACGGATCACCAACCTCACCCGGTTTAGCCGATGGAACCCTACGACCTCGAGTTGATGCTTACACACATAACGCTTCCAATTCTATCCGGGACCGGTTCTGGGCTGTTAGCCGCCCGCCCGCTAGATATTTGGCCGATTACGTGAATAACGAGTAGATTTATAACTTAACCCAACCGATAAGAATTTACTGGTATGTTTTTACGATTGTTCTGTATAGTTGACAGGAGTTAAAAAAATGCATTAAAATATTTGATATATTTCTTCCGTTCTCCGGTTTTATATTACTTACGGATTTCAATGTTAAACTAGTGATATTACGATTTTGTACATTCCATCTTTAAGGGGATCTAGAAAAAAACGTGTATAATTTTTGTATAATGTTAAAAAATTAACCGTTACTTCGACAGCGTCATTTACAACTAAATTTAACGAATGAGAGTGATGCACCAGGTACAGAAAAAGCTCTATAATTTATTTTCCTTAAATTTACGATTTATGTATCCGTTTGTCATAAAAATTTGTCTTTCCACTTTTTCCCGAGACTACAAATATTCGAATATAAAGTAACCGGTTTCGACTTATTTCTACTTAAGAAGTAGTTAAATAATTAAGCGATTAGGGAATTGGGGACGTAAACAAAACCCTGATAAAAGAGCCGGAATATTAATTACTTAAACAAAAGCTTAACCGAACCAATCTACAGACGAGTACAGTGGGTACTGATTTCTTCGAAATACTGTATTAGATGTAATAAAGACAGAAATTTTTTCAGTTCGACGAGAGTGACTGTAAAGTTGTAAATTTTGCAAATTTCCGTGGACTACACCTGGTCCTAAAACGAATTAGTTAGAAAACAAATGACTATTAAGTTTAACATATTTAGATTTTTACAGCTATGGTGAGAAACGTTTAAAATGTATAACAGCCCTGTCGCGTCCTTTGAGATATACTAGTGATGCGACAAAAGAGGTATTTGACATTGACCGCTATCGGCACCCTGGGGTTTTGGCAGTCCGCGTGAATGCACGCTCCGCAACCATCTTCGATTCCATCCATTAGCCACTCGTAGGGAGCTATTTGACTAAATGCATTGTTTTAAGATTTAAAAAGTAAAGAATATTTTATATTTTTATGTACGTTTCTTTGCAAAGCTATATTTAATTATAATTTTCTTTAAAAGTATATTCATATAATTGAAGAATATTTTGTATGTACCGGTACATCCACCACATATTTTATTTCACCGAGTAAGTTTTTATTATTTTATTTTTAATTGTAGCCCTTATATCGTGGCTAGCGATTCGGAATGTAATTGTGATATTAAAAATGCATTTAGAAAAGTCTACGGTTTTTACTGGCTTATCGAATAAACAATACGAATGAACCCTAGACCGTCACTGACGTGCAATTGACTGATTGCCCCTGGATGTCGGCTTCTTACACAGCTTCCCTATCATCAAATGTCACGGCATGTCCCTGAAAATCAAAGAAAAAATCATTGTTAATCTATAGATTTGGAAGGTCTTCTGAGATCACCAGTTTCATGAAATTCTACAAAATGACGAAAAGCCTGCGGGAAAATAATTTAAAGATATTTTATTGCAGTTCCTTAAAAACAACAGAGCACAAATTTACGTGGATTATGGGTGAGCTATATCATGCTATGAACAACTCGGTTATAATACGTTCAAAATCCAGTTCTTCCATGTGTATCTTGACTTCTTTCCGAAGAATTGTGGAACAGTTAGAAACGAACACGGTGAGTTATTGTATTTCACGATATTGTGACCATAGAGAAGAGATATGAGGGAAGTGGTATTAATCTGCTATACAATAAACTGCTACCTAAACAGACTATTGCAGCACTATGAATATGGATACTCCAGAGATAGACAATGCATAAGTCGTACGAAATCTCTGAATATATGAATACCTCTTATTAATATAATTCGCCTTTCAAGTGTTATTTGTTTTATTTGTGTGAGTTTATTTTAGTATTATAATTAAAGGAAATGTATGTAAAACCTGACGTTGTTTATTTCAGTTTTAATTTTCTTTTAAATTGATACTTTAAAATAGCGATTAAAGATTATAAATGCCTATGATTTCATATCAGTGGGTGAGTGGCTAAAACCAATGAAGGACTGTTAGTTCAGTTTTAAATTCTTGATTCGTAAACCAAAGAAATTTAATACAATATTCTGTTCCGAATATCAATTGTCTGGAATCGCATTGACTAATTTAACATCGCAAGTATTTGTAACATTATTTATTCGCACTATTTATTATTTATTAGCATATATGCATTTCAAACCACTATATTTTAGTAATTCCTCGTCAGTATAACATTTACAGAATACAATGCTTTTTTAAAAAAGATCCAAATTGAATTCGGATTATTAGAGAGGAAAACATGAAGCTTAGGAGTATTTATGTAGCTAGCGGACATGGATATCCAGTGGTATATGTCTTATTGAGTCTACGTTCGTGGTCAAAGATATTCCAGTGTAACGCTGTCAAGGACATTCCAGTGTAACGCTGTCAAGGACATTCCAGTGTAACCCTGTCAAGGACAGTGACTAACTGTCGCTGATTTACTAATCAACACTAGAAGGCAATTGATGTTTTTCCCTGTCTTGAGAGTCCTACTCAAACCGTCACCTTGTAGTCGTATGGAAAAAATGTTTTATACTTTTATGATGTCAAGCAAATAGGAAATTACGATCGTATAAAACTATAAATTAAATAAATTTTCCATGACCATATAATACTTTCTTACTTTTCTGTCCATTTTATTCTTTGTTTGGCTTACTGTCATTTTCTTGACTTATGCTGATTACCTTTGGAGACGCTTTTACCTTTTTATGTATAAGGTGAGATATTTGATCTCACGATTCTCCCAAGGGCCTATAAGGGTCCCGATTGAGAAAAATTGAATTAGATAATCACATAAAAAATTAAAGAGCGGTTAGTTCAATTCTGTCTCTCGAATTGTCGCGTAGTTATTAAAATCTGTTTTACCAAAATCCTCATGTACTGGAGTATCTTCAGATGAACGTCCTGAGGGTTTCTTTTAATCCACATATTTCACTGAACTTCAAGTAACTTAATTCTTCTTAATCTTCTGTTTTCCAATTTTTCTCGTTATATTCCTTGGCCATGAGGAGCTGATATTTGTCTCTTTCCAAAATCTATTAAGGCATATTCTTTTCTCATTGATCCTCTCATGGGCTCAAAAAGAACTATATTCTAATAGTAAACATACTTTGAATAAAAAACTAAAATGACATTCATTGCATACAGTACACGTGCAAGATTCCATATTTCGTTTACACGAAACAAATATATGTATATTGTCTAATAACAACAAATTTTAGGTTCAAAATTTTCATATCAAATTTACTTTTGTATTTTTATTTATATATATTTAAATACTTATTGAAGTTTAATCGTATTTGTATAATTTTAATATTTTATTCTGGCTGCATCTGTCCTAGAATTTGCTCTGGTTCCCCAAAAGTTGATTTTTGGCCTGTGTCCCCCTTGAAAAATTCTGTTGCTCCAAGAGTCCACACAGCTTCCGGTTGAGAAATACTGAATTAGATACTCAAACAGAAAGTTTACGAACGGTTTAGTTTAATCATCTGACTATATTAACTTCAATTTAATATCTTAGAATAGGATGTTAAATTGAAGACTTGCTATCAGAGTTTACAGTATATTTTTTATTAATTGCTTTTTTTACATGTTTAGATATCCAGTAGAACGAACAGGTTTTGATGTAAAAATAAACGCTATGAACGTAGGTGGAGTATCAACTAATGACACTGGATACATCACGGACTTCAAGGCCGTTCGTCTCTTCTATTTTATGGATTTCGAAACAGAAAAGAAGAAGCGAGTAGCTTTAAAGTGGGAAGAGGAATTTTTGAATATAATGACTCAAGTGGAATTTCGACACATCGACGTTTCCTTCTTTACTCTTCGCAGTGTCAATGCCGAAGCTAACAGAAACACAGAACTGAGCATTCCGCTCGCATTTATAATAACTCCTATAGTAATTTTCTTTTCTGTGGCAAGTTGTATGACGTTCGACATCGTCAGCAGTAAACCGTGGATTGGATTAGCAGCATGCTGTAGTCCCTTATTAGCACTTATAGCAGCATTCGGTTTGCTACTACATTGCGGAATAGAATATTCTGACGTCAATATAACGATGACATTTCTTTTGTTAGGTACTGTACGTTTTTTAATTTTATACTTATATTTATACAGTAAAAGTTAACTTATAATTATTTTTAAAAAGTAATGATGAAAAGAATTGTATAAATGAAAATACTTTTAGAATGCAGTATTTAAACTTAGACTATAAAAAGGTTTATAAATATGTACTCTATTATTTTCTGACTTTAAATTGTCGATTGGACATTCTATTGGGTTGATGCAAAAGTTTCTGGAATTTTTAACCCTTTGTAGAATATTCGAAATTACTCTTCGAAAAATTATATCTAAAACTTTCTTGTAGGGTATGTAAAATAATGGGGTTGAAGTGCAGAATCGTAAGTGAAAAAATGTTCGCGATACGTACTCTTTAAATACATCAATTTTGGTAATCAAATCTAGACATGTGCTATTTACGATTATCGGTTTCCTAGAAAATCAGCTGCATCTTACTGCCGTATGGTGCAATTCTTTATCAAGAATGTGACGACATTCTTGTAAAGAATGTCGTCACATTCTTACAAGATTATTGATTCAGTGACGATATTCTTGCAAGATTATTGATTCAGTAAATTTAAAGTTAGATAATATGAAGTCGGAAAGAAGCCATGTTCTACAAATTTATTTACTGTGATTCCTTGCGAAGCATATAAATATATGCCTATGTATTCAATTTTTATAATTTATTAACAGAATTACATGATCTTTCGATAAAACAAAAATAGTTTTCGCAACTATTTTAGGGCTTAAATTGGACTATAAATTAATACTGTAACTTCTATAGTAATTTTCCTATAGTAAAATAAATGTACTTAACTACAAATCATATTTACATCGCAAATTAAAATTAAAAACTTGCAATGCATTTTTTCTTTTTCAAGTAATTACACAATCAAAACAGAACAGATTATTCGTTTTTCCTCAAATAATATATATACGTTGCGTGACATTCTTGAAATTATTCTAGTCTTTCGCGTCTATTTCTTTCTAATGAATTCTTCGAAAATTAACGTTTATTGATTTTTATAGGTATTGGCCTAGACGACTCCTTTGTTTTGTTGGCTGCTTGGAGGCGAACGAACGTAAAAGACAGCACAATACAAAGGATGAGCCATACATTTTCCGAAGCGGGAGTGTCCATCGCCATCACTTCCTTGACTAACATTGCTTCGTTTTGTGTTGGAATCACTTCACCTTTTAGAGTCGTTCGTATCTACTGCATGTATGGCGCTCTGTCTGTATTGTTCGATTTCGTCTATCAAATCTTCTTTTTCGGAAGTCTCATGGCACTTGATGGCCACCGGGAAAAACATCGTCTCAATCCTTTTCTCTGTTACACAGTGAAAGAAACACATTTCGGTAAGTAAGAATTGTTGTGTGCACCTACGAACACTCGATACACTTGTTCACAGTTTTACCAAACAATTTTCTTTCAATGTTTTTTCACACATGATCAATTGGTTCTATTGAACGATTTATACCATATCTAAATAATTTTAATTGTTGTGGATGTTTACACCAATCATAAGTGAAAATTTCCACTCTCTCAGACACGACGCCAGCGTTATTGCTTGAAAATTGCGAGATGATGATAATGTTGAAGGAAAACTCGGAGTATAAAACTCTTTTCCATAATAAACAGTAGAACTATGTTTTCACTATTTTTATCATATTTACTGCATAAGCAAACACCGTTTATGTCAAGTCACGTTATCTATTTTTAATGATAGATAACGTGACTTCAGTTATTTTTAGCACACTCAATTATTTTTCTATTAGACACTTCTCAGTTTATAAAGAATAACTGAAAGCAGTGGGTATCAAAACATATAATAAGAACATATGAACCGTATAAACCGTGTTCTGTTAGTATTAAAATTTGTGTAGGTTTATTATTTTAAAAATTTTCAGTAAAAACAATATAAACTTAAGACATAAACACTGAATAATAAATTATAAAGAAAAATAAAGATGAATCTAAATATTTGCACCAGGGAAAAAAATCTTTCTTCTATTTAAACTAGGTTTGCTCTGGGAAAACAACGTAGTGTTTTCTGATTCGGCTTTACACGAAAACACAAATATAGTGACATGCTCCTAACTTTCTGTGTAAAACAGTTCGAAACACGAATTTTTTGTGGAAATATTAAATGTCTGTCATTTTAAGCTAAAAAAAACATCAATAATTGTTTAAATCACTCACATGTCAGAACAATCTCCATTATAATCTATAAGTGTTTATAAGAACAATAATTAAGTAGCTATTAATAATATCGACAAATAATCATTAAATAATGTCTTAAAACTCTTTTTGTAGATAACGAAACATCCAAAGTCAGACAAGACGAAACCTACTCGAACAAGTGTGATAGAGCCGTGAAATACCTATCTGAAAAACTGGGAAGTCTCCTCTGTAGAAAATCAGTGAAAATGCTAATCGTATTCATGTTCGTATGCAATATCGCAGGAAGTATTTACAGCATCAAAGATATGAAACAAGGACTGGACTTAAAAGAAATCTTTCCATTTTCTTCTCCGATCACAAAATTCATAAATAATTACTATTCGTATTTTACAGATTATCCACACGTAATACAAGTCGTTTTTAATCAGACATTAGATTATTCAAATCCCAGTGTACAAGAAGAAGTAGAGAACATCTTGTCAATGGTTCAGAACGCTCCTTATATCAGTGGACGCGAACACTTTTTATGTTGGATACGAGAATATCTTTCTTTCATTCACAATAACGACTTAAATTATCTCATGAAAGATTTTAACACGAGCGATTCACGAGGTTTCGTACAAGGATTGAAACAAGTATTTCTCAGATTTCAGCCAGCCATTCAATTCCGGAAAGATCTATCTTGGGATAGAGAGAGAAACCAAATTGTAGCTTCAAGGTGTTTTGTTTCGTCCAAAGGCGTCAGAACCGGAACTGATGAGAAATTATTATTAGAAGGTTTACGTCAGATTGCGGATCGTAGCAAATATCGCGTAATCGTATACAACATTTTATTTGCTTTCTACGAGCAATCTTTAAACTTGACGGCTATCTGTTTGCAAAACGTGGGTGTCGCCGTCTTTGTAGTAAGCCTGATATTCCTCTTGATGATACAAGATATTCCTTGCACCGTTTGCGTGTCATTAAACGTCGTCTGCATTCTAGTAGAGACAATGGGTTACATGAATTGGTGGCATGTCAAATTAGATCTGATGTCGGTCCTGATTTTAATGATGAGTGCGGGATTATGCATCGATTTTTCGGCTCACGTGGCATACGCGTATAAGTGTTGCCAGAAGGAATCTTCCGAAGAAAAAATTAAATATAGTTTGAACGCTACGGGATATCCGATAATGCAAAATTGCTTGTCTACCCTATTGGGTGTCATAGTTTTGGCATTTGGACCTTCCTATACTTTTGTGATATTTTTCAAAATAATCTTGTTGATTATGGTTTTCGCTGCTCTTAACGGACTGCTTCTGTTGCCAGTATTACTGATTATTGGAGAATCAATTGTTGCTCCTTGGAAAAAGAAAAGTTTTCCATTCTCCCAGTAAAAGTAATTCTCACGTAAAATTTGAGGTAACTTTATTTTTGAAAGTAGCACAAAAAGTTGTTTGTTTCATAAAAGTTTATCAGTATTTTAAAGTAGAAATTTTCTTTATAATTATAGCTTTTAAAAACATCCATGATTATCAATTTTTAAGGTATCGAATGAATGATGCAATTTAAAATATCAATGCTTGTTTTATTCGTGTGTTCGATTATATCAAAGAGACGTTATTTCTTATTCTTTCTCCTTCTTCTAACGATTAAATTTCATAGATTTTGAATACACATTCTGGTCCATTTGCCTGACGACTATCATTTACTTTATCGATAGTTCTTCCATTTACTCTTGTAATTTTTGTAGTTTGTTTATTATTAAATAACATCACAAGACAGTAGGCTTTTTTATTAAATAATTGTCTATTATTATTTACTCAGAAATATTATCTCTCAGACGAACACTTTTAGTTTCTGGTAATGGAAAGATGCATGTTTCAGCCATAATAGTGAATAATCCTGTGATAACCAACTGTACGCTCCTAGTCACCTCTTCGCTTTGTAGCAAATCATATGCTGTATTATATGAATTTCTGAAAGCTTAAAATCGAAAAAATGTAACACATGATTTTAAATTTTAATCTCTTTTAACGTGAAATGACTTTAGACGTGGTATTTCGGATAATTTCTTTGTTCCAAATTCTCTACAAGGGTTAATGTAATCTGCCACAATATAATGAAAACGATTCAGTCTACTAGAAATCTTCCTTAGTATAGCGTAGTAATCGAAATATAACTGCAGAGATGACTCTCTCATTTTGGAACAAAGTATATTCTTTACAAAGTTATAAAAAATTCATTTATTCTTTTACTATATTACTGTTTTTTGGTAAAATTGTTTTTGTAAAATATGATAATAAACCAATTATTAATTCATTTGTATTGTTTTGTAATATCATTTATTGCATACTTCTTAAGAAATACATTTATAAAGACTTAGGTAGGTTACATATAAAGAATAATTTTTATACGAAAGTTTTATTCTTATGAGAATCTGTACTTTCCATACTCCTCTTTTACCTAATCTTAGAAGATCCTGTACATAATCTTTTAAGGCAAAATAATAGAGAAGAACAGACACTTGAGATTACATAATTTAAAATCGCAGAAGAGAAAATTACATAAAATCTTCCTGCCTGGTTAGAACAAGTGTAATTACTAGTAAATGAATTCAATCTATGACGAATTGATCAAATGAATATATTGAGAATTCTTCATATTATATTCATAAATACAGAGAAGAATTTTTAGATTATTATTTCAGCAACCCAATAGTGTTGTTTTCCCCAAACATATCGCAACGATTTCTGTATGTTATAACTGTCTTTTTTTATCTTAAAACAGCACTATTGGGTTGCCGAAATAATAATTTGATACAGATCCAAACAAAAAACTAAACGAAAAATCTTTTAGAAACGAGTTGCATTCAAATTCAAATTAGATTTTCCAATTTGTTTGATTATTAAACACATTTGGAATGACAGATAATAAAGTAAGTAACGCAAAAACACTATTAAACCATCGAAATATCTTTTCAATCATCAAACAAACTGATAATTTATGTAAATAACTTCCTAGTAAAAGTAAGAAATACCTTGATCTAGTTTCGTTCACAGTTAAAACAGTGAAATAAAAAAATACCATTTTATGAGTTTACGTTCTGTCCTTTAATTAAAAGTGACAAAACTTGTTTACGTTTATAATATATTTAAATTCCAATTTTAAAATGCACTTTTCCTTTATATTTCCATATTTAATATACAAACACATTAACATTTCTCTTGGTGTTCCAAGCTCAAATACTTAAAATAATTACTTTTATAAATATAATATAAATTAATTAAGCGTAGAAAGTAACAAAGTTTATTACGAATACTGAATTTATTCTTTTACTTATCATTTAATATATATTTAACAGAATTATATAAGTTTTTATTTAGGCTCACGCAACAGACGTTTTTTTATCGAAATTCCTTGCTTTATTGAATCAAATATCAATAAACAGCAATTATTACCGTAAAAATGTAAAATTTCGACTAAATTTAAAGATAGAAACGTTCACGTGTTGAATTTTATTATTTAATTGCATTGGCTCGTTTATCTCAACCTAAGATTTAATCCTTTCATATAAAAAAGTTAACTTGAAAGTATTATAGAAACCGGTTATAAATAATTTATTTTGAACGAATTTAAAACGGAGGTCACATTGTTTGCAAACATCGTAGAACCTTGCAGGTAAGACATTTCTATGTCAAACTAATGACATTATTATAAAGTTACTAAATTGTAAAGTAAGAATATAATTATAATTAACATTGCTGAGGAGAGAGATAAGTAAGAAATACTTTTTTAAACTCGCTTATTTTCTTTCTAATACTGCGCCTTTTATTAAATCAAGACTAAGTGTCTTGGTTTAACAGGGAGGATGAATACGGAGCTTGCGAGACCGTAAATGAACGGAACGAATAACAGGAGCATTGTGAACAGGTGCAAAAAGTTTTCTCGCTAAATATTGAGTCTTTTTTTACGAATTGCTTCACTCAAATAACGAAAAGCGCTCAAATAATAATCTTTCTTAGAAGTTCATTGTCGTGGTGCACAACATCACGACAATGAAAGAAAACACTTAACACGATGTAGATTTTTGATTGACTGACGTGATCTTTTCGGTCATTCGAACGTGTTTGTTTCTGGAAAAAGTTCAACGTTTTCAAAATAGTATTAGAACTTCTGTAGTTTCTATTCCTTTGATATTTGGCTATTTTAGTTCTTTTTCAGTTGAAATATATATATATATATATATATATACTAGCTGCAAGGACCCGCTTC